CGACTATGAGAGGCTCCAGATCGACGAGCTCGAGGACGGCTGCGCCACATGGGCGGACAGTAGCCGCGGCCGGAGCTACGACGAGGTGAAGACGGCGGACCAGAGCGGGCTCAGCAGCTTGCAGTAGGCGCACAACAACAGCGCGCAGCAGCGCCCCACGTGCCCGACGCCCAGCAAGGGCATCCAGGGGTGGAAGCCGCACGCACAGGCGCTGCCGACGCAGCTGCAGCTCCAGCCCCCCGCCCCCGCCAGCCATTCCAGCGGAGCCGACAGCTCCGAACCCGAGCGGGACCTCCGCTTCCGCTACTCATCGGTCGCCGCCAAGGCGGGGCGGGGGCTGGGGCTGATATCGCGAGCAATGAATCCAGCCAGCCGCCTGCCCACTTATTTTTCTTTCGGGCCCGCTTGTTCTATGACGCCCGGCATCGCTAACCTGTCAATGAGGCCTACTTCGCACGCGGCACTAGCAGGCGAGCGGGCCCCGCTACATGTCAGTCCAGCAGCAGGGCAGGCCATCACTTCTCTTTTTTTTCGGCGCTGCAGCGTGCCAGCAGCGAGGAGAGCGGGAGCGCGGGGAGATTGAGCGGGGGGGGAGTGCTCTCAGCGGGTGGGGCCCGCCTCCACGGGGAGGCACCCCCGCCCGCCTGCCTCGAAGCTCCAGCTCGCCAGGGCAGGGCCCCCCTGTCCCCCTGCTACGGCGCAGCGGCCCCCTACTCAGGGTAGGGGGCCGCGTGCACCAGGCACCCCCCGAAACCAGCAGTAAAGGGGGTTTGCATCCACGCGTGTACCCCGGGGTCTTATTTTTTTGTTGTAGGCGAAGCGACTCAGACCCCCAATGGCCTTATCCTGATCCTCCTCCTCCTCCTTCCCCTCCTCGTCCCTCCTCCTCTTCCGCCTCCTCCTCCTCCTCCTCCTCCTCCTCCTCTTCCTCGCCCTCCTCCTGCTCCTACTTGTATCCCTACCCCTTCTCCTACCCCAACTACTGTCCTTATTCCTTATTGAAAAATACTCTTACTCCCCCTCTGGCAGGCCGGTAGGGGTTCCATCCGGGCCTTCCCATCCTAATGGTTAAAAATCAACGCAAACTCGTCGATATTTGTCGTCGGCGATGCGAAATGCGTTGCAGAAATAGGACGCGGCGCACATCGCGCGCGGCCGTCAAAACGGGCCCTCCCATCCTAATTGCAAAAAAAATCAAAATAGAGTCGTCGTTTTTCTCTCAGCATGGCCTTTTCTTGTCTTCGACGATGCGAAATGCGTAGCAGGAATGGGACGCGGCGCACATCGCGCGCGGACGTCTGGGGCAACCCCAAGCGGGAGGGGCCATCCTACCTGTCAGAAGCCAAACAAAGTCGACATGTTTTTTTCTCCGTGGGGATTTTCTGGTTGTCGCGAAATCCATGGCAGGAAGGGGGCGCGGTGCACATCGCCCGCGACAAGGCGAAATGTCGCTTTCGCTTCGGCGCCGCGCGCATGTTTTCTGAAAGTTGAGCTTCCGCTAAAGCGCGGCGCGCATTTTCCGTTCGCCAATCCGTCGAGCGCCTAGGGCCCCTGGGGCCTCCCAGGGTCTCCTGGGACATCCTGGGGCTTCCGAGGGGTTTCCCCAGGGCCTCGTGAATCCTCCTGAGGCATCCTGGGGCTTTTTGGGATTCCCCGGGGGCTTCCTGACATTTCCTAGGGTTTCCTGAAGCATCCTGGAATTACCAGGGGGTTCTTGGGCCCTCCTGAAGCCTCCTGGGGCTTTTGGGGGTCGCTGGGGCTTCTCCTGAGACCTCCTGGGGCCTCCTGAGGCTTCCTGGGGCCTCCTCGGCTCGTGTTGAGATGCCAGCACAGTCTTTGAGACGCGCCAGGGGTTCCGAATCGGTAATCGCCATCGCGGCTGCATCAGGTGTGGCAAACCACCTTGCCGATCTGATTTCGGCCCCCAGTTGGGCCAACACTGTTTCTTACGTTGTGGGGGGGGCAGGTGGGAATGGGCATGCCATGCTTGACTCGCTCGAGCTGGCTAGTTTGACTCCTACTCCTACTCCTACTCCTATTCCTACGTACTCATACTACCACTCCTACTCCTACTCCTACTCCCTCCTTCCCCTTCCCTCCGTGCCCTCCCAGCCCTCCTCCATCCCAGCCCTCCCTCTCCCTCCTTCACACCTCATCCCTCCCTCCCCCCTTCCCTCTCGCGTCCCTCCCAGCGTCGCAATCACTCCACAAAAATACTCGTTCATCCTTCCCCCCATCATCTCTCCTCCCCCCTCTCTCCTCCCTTCTCTCCTCTCCTCCTCCTCCTCCTCTCTCCCTCTCTCCTCCTCCCTCCTCCTCCTCCTCGCCTCATCTCCTCCTCCTCGTCCTCCTCTCCTCCCCCCCTCCTCCTTCCCCGCCCCCTCCCCTCCTCCTCCTCCTCCTCCTCCTCTTCCTCCTCCTCCTCCTCCCCCTCCTCCTCCCCCTCCTCCTCGTCTTTGCATCCCAGTCACTGTTTGCATTTCTGGCCCGAACACTCGCTGTACTTTTGTGCTCGGTGTGGCCGTTCGGCTACTGTCGACCCGAGGCAACGACGCAGTGAGTGTTCCCAGTGCTGCAAGAAAGGGCACGAGAATCTCTTCAGAATTCGTCGAGGGCTTTTCCCAGGCCACAAGGGTCCCTCGGCCCCTGTCTTGGAGGCCGCTGTCAGTCCGGTCCGACGCGTCGAGGGGCGTCGGTTAATTCCTGGCTCTCGCTAGTCCCGCCTGCCACGTAGATTGTGGCGATCATGACACTCATGACACTCCTCCCCCTCCTCCTCCTCCTCCTCCTCCTCCTCCTCCTCCTCCTCCTCCTCCTCCTCCTCCTCCTCCTCCTCCTCCTCCTCCTCCTCCTCTTTGTATCAAGGTATCACCGACCCCGCTGGGTGGCTCGACTTCGCCAACGGCAGCATCGCGATCCCCTTCTACTTTTGCCACGTCATGCTCGTGGTCTGCGCCTTCTGCAGGCGCCTCCTTTGCGTGGGCCTCAGACTTCCGTGCGCCTCGACCCAGACAATGGCGCCAGCGTTTTGTCCATCATCGGCGTCCGGGTGCCGTTTCTGGTGGTCGATGCAGGGGCCAGCGATTCGAGTGATTTGTTTCTTTGTCAGTGCAGTTCAAGGGTTTTGGGGATGCTCCTGGGGCTTCTCGTGGTCTCCTGGTCTGCGCTGAGGAATATACGCCCGTCTGAAGGCGTTCCCCCGAGGATGTCTCGGAGCGCTGGATCTGGATACTTCATGACCTCAGGGGGCGGCAAAGTATTCACAACCAGTGCTCCACGATAATCTCGTTTGGACAAGTCCCAGGAGCGGACGTAGGGCCTCGTGGGGGCTTGTTGGGGCATTTGCGGATGGTTTTCGGCCGTCTTGGGCTGGTCTCGGGGCAACCCGCAAAGCGCGGGCCCGGGGCATCTCGGACCCCCCTGCAGGCGATGCGAGCGGAGGCAGAGGAGGATGTATTATTACAGGCATGATGACGAGGAACTGGGCTGCCTGTGCTGCTCTTTCCACACCGGAATGTTCTGTTTCACGGTGTTCAAGGCGATCCTCACCCTCTTCCACGCTTATAAGCAATTCTTCTTTATTCGGGAGGTGTCCATCATACATTGTGGTCTGTATGTGGCGAACTTGGCGCTCGTGCCAGTCGCAAACACCGTGGTCGCGAGCGAGCACGACGACAAGAAGAAGACGAGGTGAGAAGGGCCGCTCTCTTAGATCTTGCTCCCTTCTCGTCTCCACGGGCCATGGAGGAGGACGGCCCTTCCAAAGGCCTCTTTCAGGAGGGCCGCTAGAGGCCCCCAACACAAATCATAATCGAGCACGTCAGAAACGTGGATGCTCGACCATCTTCTCTCCCTTCCCCCTCCCTCGTGCCCTCCCCCCCCTTCGAGGAGGAGGTGGCGCCACGAGGCCGGGCCCGAAACTCCTCGGCTTCCTACGAGACCCGCGGCGTGCCTGCACGCGCTCTCTCCGCACGGATCAGGAAAAGTTGAGCGGCGAGGGCGCGAGATCCAAAGCGTCAGGTGTTCTATCTCTCGTCCTCCTCAGGGGGAGGGGGAGGAGGAGGAGGAGGAGGAGGAGGAGGAGGAGGAGGAGGAGGAGGAGGGGGAGGAGGAGGAGGAGGAGGGTTAGAAGTGGATGCGAGGCTGGGCTCTGTCTGGCCCAATCCAGCTCATGAGTGGGTCAGAGGTGCCCTGTACTTGGGGGGGTGAAGATTCGGGGTACATGGGCCGCTCTGTGCCTCTAGGGGCCTCCAGGGACCCTGACAGGGGCTCTTTTGAGGTCTCTGGGTGCTGCTCGTCCTTCTCTCTCTCCACTTCCGTGTTCTTCTCCTCTTCCTTGAAGTATATTGCAGCAGTCATCTTCCGAAGTAGGTGGGCGATGAGGGCTATTTAGGAGCGGGAGAGGAAGAACACCAGGAGGAGGAGGTGGAGGCAGAGGAGGTAGGAGGAGAAGGAGAGATCACAGTAATCGCAACGCACACAGCTGATGCGGCACTACACCCTCTCGACCTGCGTAAGGCAATGTCCGTAGCTCACTGGGCTCCAGGACTACTCTGGCAATTGCTTGTGTGGTTTCTGTTGCGCTATCTGTTTCAATCAGGGGAAGGGGGTCTAACGGTATAAGATCATTTAAATTTAAATCCTGCGGCTTAGAAAGTTCTGGTTACTTTGTGGTTGCTTCTGGTTGGGAATGCGGTCGAACCCGTTTGAGGTGAATTGATGTTGACCGCATTTCCAACCAGACGCAATCAGAAGCCAGCCATGTTCACTTAACGTGTATTCTGAGTATGGTTGGCCTGTGATGTGTCCTGGTTGGGAAAGGCGGTCAAAACCCGTTTAACTCAACCAGTTGGTTCTGGTTGGCTGGTTGTTGGCTCGCTGGCTGGTTGGCTGGCTGGCAAGCTGGCTGGCTGGTTGTCTGGTTGGTTCTTCCCAACCAGAAGCAATCACTGGGCTCGCTGGCCGGTTGGCTGGCTCGCAACCGCTGGGCTCGCTGGCTGGTGGGCTGGGTAGCTGGCTGGTTGCTTGGCTCGCTGGCTGGTTCTGATTCGGTGGTTCGCTGGCTGGTTGGGCAGCGGAACCATTGGTCGCTCATTTGGTTACCTAGCTGGAATATCCGACGGCAGCAAGCAGGCAGAAAAGGAGGACAATCAGAGGGTCAAAAGGACACATTAGACACCGATTTCACAATGTAGTGTACATCAGAAACAAAAAACATCGAGACTCATTTGCCTTGGTGTCAACTCGGGCGCCAATGGAAAGCAGACGCTGAAACAATTTGCCCCAGTCAGGGCGCCCCTGCTGCGCGATATAGTATCGCATCAGTTGAATAGACCTCTGAGAAGCCGTGCCCCCTCGAGGAAAGCAAAGCTACTGGACTCGATTGATATTCAATATCTTGTATGAGCTGTCCAGGTAGCGATGGCAAGACATTCCATTCAGAAGGAACCGTACTGTGCAGGTATATTCCCGTACCGTGGGCGGAGACGATACATGCAACACAACAACATTGGCCTTAGGTATGAACGGAGCAGCATCCAACGCATTTCCGCCGATTCCAATTGCTACAATAAAGAACAACTCGCAACATGTATCGATGAATCAGTCCACCCTTCCATGCGAATCGCGATCTCGTCGCGCGATCAGAGTGAAATTCCTCAGCCCAAGAATCGCAGAACAGCGGTCAAGCTTGGTTTCGGTCAGAAACACAAGGGACGGGAAGAAAGGAAACAGCGATAACCGACCTTCGAGCTGAAGTCGATGCTGGCTGGCTGCTTGGCTGGCTCGCTGGCTGGTGGCTTGCAAGTTGGCTCGCTGGCTGGCTCGCTGGCTGGCTACCTGTTGTTTGGCCGAGAGCATTGGCCCCACCACCCGGCCCGCCGCCGCCAAGCCCAGCGCCCTCCACGCCAGGCCCTGCGCTGCCCAGCCCGCCGCTCGCCCCCAGCCCGACCGTCCCGCCGAACACGCCGAGCCCGACCGCCCCGCAGGAGACGGCGGCCCGCAGCCCCCTCTGCCGCCCCCGGCCCCAGCGTCTCCGCGAGCCTGGTGCCCGCCGGCCGTGTGCGCGCGGCGCCCGCCAGCACGGCCGCGCCCCGTCGGCGCCCGTCCTGGGAGAGCAGGGGTCACACGGGGGGGCCGTGTGGGGATCGTTCCTCCTCCCCCTTCCTTGCCCCCTCTCCCTCCCTCCCTCCACTACCTCCTTCCCTCATCTTTCTCCCTCCCTCCTCCCTCCGCGCTACCCCTCCTCTTCCTCCCCCCTCCTCCTCGTCTTCCTCCCTCCTCCTCACCTGCTCCTCCTCCTCCTCCTTTTCCTTCTCTTCCTCTCCCTCTTCCTCCTCCATTACCTCCTCCTCGTCCTCTTCCTCCGTTCTCCTCTTCCTCCCTCTTTTCCCTCCTCCCTGTCCTCCTCCTCCCTCCTCCCTCTCTCTCCCCTCCTCCTCGTCCTCTTCTTCCTTTCCTCCTCTCTTCTCCTCCCCTCCTCGTCCTCTTCTTCCTTTTCCTCCTCCCCTCCTCCTCCTCCTCCTCCTCCTCCTCCTCCTCCTCCTCCTCCTCCGCCTCCTCCTCCTCCTCCTCCTCCTCCTCCCCTCCTCCTCCCCCCCCCTCCTCCTCCTCCTCCTCCTCCTCCTCCTCTCCTCCTCCTTCCTCCTCTCCTCCTCCCCCTCCTCCTCCTCCTCCCTTCCGCCTCATCCTCCTCTTCTTCAACCTCCTTCCCCTCCTCTCCTCTTCCTCCTCCTCTTCCCCCTCTTCCTTCCAGTTCTCCTCCTCCGCCTCCTCCTCCTCCTCCTCCTCCCTCCTCCCTCCTCCCTCCTCCTCCTCCTCCTCCTCCTCCTTCTCCCTCTTCCGTAGCCATGTTGGCTCACTATGCTTTGTTCCACAGCGGAACGAGTGGATACCGCTAGTCCGCGGGAGTCTTCAACGATTTAGGGGAACTGCACGTTGTCAACCAAGGATTGGTGGCAGCCTCACCCCCTCTCATGTACCGCGCAGTGTCTGGCGCTCGAGGGTCATGGGCCGCGGGCGGAGCACGTACTCTTTCTGCGCGACCTGTGGTGGATTGGTCTACGACTCGAAGTTGGAAAAGTCAGGCGGCTGGCGCAACAAGTGCCAAGCGGTTTTCCCAGGTTGGCAGTCGCAGTGGCCAAAGCTGTGCGCGTCAGGCATGGACAAGGGCAAGGGAAAGCTGGCTCCGTGGCACAAGCCGAAGATCCACGGGACGCTTGCTGAGCTCAGCGAGATGTTGGCGAAGGTAGCGGCAATGTCGGCCAAGAGCGTTTCACAGGTCAACCTGGGCCCGCTCACGGTGGTGCAATCGCAGGTTCAGGCGGCGGCAGCACACGCTCCGAAGAAGGACGTACCCAAAGAGCTGTAGTTGCGGCAGGCCATCAACAAACTCAACAAGTGCCAGCGCCAGCTGGAGGTCGAGAGCACCACCAGCCTCCTGCTGGCGGCGGAGGAGCGCGTGCGGGCGCCTCGCCCCCGCAGCGGCAAGGCCATCGAGGACGCAGCGGACGCGGTGTTCGAGCACGAGCGCGCGATGGCAGGGTACCAGAACGAGGCGATCGCCCCCCACCGCGGTGCAGAAGAACGAGTGAAAAGCACCACCAGTGGAGGGCCTCTTCGACGACATCGACGAATACGAGGAGGAAGACAAGGCCAAGCTCATCAAGTTCAAAGCGGGTATGGAGGCCCTGAACTGCTCCAGGCGGCGGCTGGCCAGCTCAAGCAGTTCAACGAGTCCAAGCAGCAGGCAACCAGCCTGCGAACTCATGCCACGAATAAGCGCAGGCCAACGACGGCACGGCGGAGAGGACCGCAGAGACGAACGAGACATAGACGGAGGCGGGCGGGGCCAGCGGGTCCTCCACGGCAGGCCCACCGCCACGCACGGAAGGACAACAGCGAAAACGGGAGGAGCTGCTGGACAAGATCAAGCAGCAGGCTATGCGGAATATGCAGGCCGCCAAGACGGGCACTACGACTGCGGCACCGACACAGGACAAGGGCAAGAGCGCAGCGGGTGTGGCTGCGCAAGTTGGCGGTGCTCCGGGGCAGCTTTAGCATCTTCTTCTCGAACATAACCATGCGGGGGCCGAAGGCCCACGCCACAAATACATCAATGAGGATGGCAGGACTGAGCGCATGATCGCGACGTGCGAGACGCACGTTGGCAAGCAGAAGCTTGAGCAGGTACGTGAGGAGGTCCCGAGGGATGGCTGGAAATTGATGGGCGCAGCGGCTATGCCCATCAAGCGCTAGGAGCATGGCACCAGGGGCGGCGAGTTCATTCTGGCCATATCCTACCTACCCTGCACGGGCTATGACACACTGAGGAAGATTATTTGCGACGAGGGTGGAGTGGGCCCGTTCAGAGGGTTCACGGCACTAAACCTCCACCGGCGCTCGGGCAGCATAGCGCTGATCTCGGCGTATCTGGTACCAGGCGAAGTATTCATGGGATCGAATTGCAGCAGGATCCGAGCAATGCCAAGTTTCACCAAATCACTTGCGGACCCATGGGTGGTCTTAGCAGATTGGATTATCCATTTTGAAAAGACGCAGAAGGCCGAACTCCCGACCGAGCTGGGAGGCGCGGCGATCAGGCCAGACGTGAAAGTCATTTGCGGCAAGTGGAAGGGCAGCCTCATCGATTGCGGCGTTGCGAGGGTGATGGTGATGACCACCACCAAGAATTCG